AGAGAGAGAGAGATAGAGAGAGAGAGATAGAGAGAGAGAGAGATAGAGAGAGAGAGAGGTAGCGAGATAGAGAGAGAGAGAGGTAGCGAGATAGAGAGAGATAGACAGATAGATAGAGAGATAGAGAGAGAGAGATAGATAGAGACAGAAAGATAACGAAAAGGCAACACTAGAGCAAGTACAAAAGACTATGTACGACAGGAGAGGATGAAGAAGAATAAAAGTGAGAATCGAGAATAGTAGAGTGAGAGCGAGAGATATACAAATTCCTTTCAATATATTATGACAGGAAATTAAAGTAAAGTAAAATTCCCAATTGCATCGCATAGAATGCAGAACAAAGCAAGAATCTGATGTAATGCATAACATAATTAATACACATACACACACACATGAACTCTCTCACTTGACTTTGTATAATTTGTTAAATCATATTCCAATTGACTTGGCTGTTGCTCTTGCGGCGGCTGCTGCTGCTGCTGCTGCTGCCTGGAGAATATCTTAATATAACCATTACATTCATTTAATGGGCACTTGGTATAATACAACACTGGCTACCAACACTGCTATTTATAACCTTAATAATTTAGCCGGCGCTTCAAAGAAATATGTTAATCTTGAACGAGCGTCGACTGAGCTTGGAATTTTCATTTTAATGCGACGCCAGAGTGGGGACACCATGTTGAAATACACTCTGCAAGCGTGTATGTGTATGTGTGTATGTATGAGTATGTGTCTGTGTATGAGTATGTCGAGTGTCAGTGAACAGAACAATCTTAAATTATGCAAATGCTTGCAATCAACGCTTAAGCAATGCCAACAACAACAACAACAACAACAACAGCAGCAACAACGACAACAATGAAAAGTATAAAATAAAGTAGAAACAAAAAAGCAGAAAAGCAAAAAAAAAATGGCACACAAAATGATTGCGACATGAAAAATATGCCCGCAATATTAGCATACAACGCCATTGTATTGAGAGCATCCCAGTTGGGCAATGGGCGGAGGCGTGGCACGTGCTATACACGCGATCGCCGAGCAAAAGCCGCTTAGGCAACAACAAAAACAACAACACGCGAAATAGACAACAAATGCGAATACCAAAAAAAGAATGGGCACAAAAGGAGTTGTCTAGCCGAGGCAGTGCATGACTAGAAGATACCCTTTTCGATTAACTGAAAGTGCTCCAACTTTGTGTATACTTAATATATAGTTTAATAATGACTCCACTTTAAACTAAATGACTTAAGCCTTATATCAATTTTGTTCGATTTAATTAATATTTAAAAACTAACAATATATCTAGTTAAAACTCTCTCTCCAAAGAACGACTACAATAATTCTTACAGATAAAGAGATGCACAGATGTAAGACCAGATCCAGATTATCTAGGCTGCGCCTCTATAAAATAATATACTTTAAGGGCTCTACAATATATGCATACATTAATGTATGTATTCTACTCTGCCACGCCTCCTGCAACCCATCACATACAACGCTGTGAATACATAATATCCTACATTCCAAATTTTAATAAGTTTAGGGCATCCATAAAAAAAAAAGAAAAGAAAAATAAGGAAAAGGAAAAGGCAACCCACAACCACAAGAGAAACTGTCACTCAGTCAGTCAGTCACTGCCTTATCAATTTAATATTTAATAAGCCGTGGCTGGCATCCAGAAATACCCCCGAATATATTCAGTTGAGTGTAAAGCTGATAACCCAGTCAAATGCTAAGGCGTTCGGGCGGTTGCTGTACGATTTTCAATTCCGATAACGATTACTATTACGATTATTTCCATAGGCATAAACAAGAGCCCAAGTCAGACCGCACTTTGCATTAAATAATATTCAAATATCTATAGATATGTGTGTTTGTATTGGCTTTTAGGCTCGCTAGACTTTAAAGTCTCATATAAATGGCAAACACGCACACACACACACAGTCGCATACACACACACACACACATCTGTGACTTGACAGTTGTACGTGACGCATAACAAATTTGAGGGATTTGTTGCACTTTGATTGAATGTTCGCTGGCGCCGCAAAGCTAAATATGATTTATGTGCCACGCACACACACACACACACACAGCAAACTTATCTAATTTGTCAGCATGACAAAATGAGAAAACGAGAAAAAATTTATTGCAATTATTTAAATTTTTGTTTTTGATTACGCAAAGGCGACAAAAGCAAGTAGATGAAAAAAAAAACAAAAAACAAATAACCAAAAAAAAGAATTTGTTAAGCAACAACAAAAGAGCCGTGCAGATACGGTTGCTCTGTCAAGCTCTCTGGCTGGATTTGTTTAGCCAGGTTGGCTCTGCGTTCCGGCCAAAGCCAAAAGGCAATCAAGTGTTGCCAAAAACTATGCAAACATGAAAATTGCCAAAACGCCACCCAAACCAGATTTCGCATACAAACCCAAAGCCAAGCACCGAGTCAGACGGAGCTGAATAGGGCAGGTGACTGACACTGAGAGAGGACAAGAGAGAGAGAGAGAGAGAGAGAGAGAGAGAGAGAGGGTAAGGGAGTTGGAGCTGCAGCTAGGTGAGAGAGCAGCAGATTGCGGACAATTGTTTGCGTTGTGCAAGTGTCAACAGCATTTGCAATTCCGTTAAATTTTTACCTCTTTGGGGTTTTGTCAACGCTTCGCTTGGCAACTGTTGTTGCGATACCCTGCTATTGACAGGGCAGCTCCAGCTAGGTGTATTGTTAAGAATTCTAAAGGTTTTTGGATCTATCAAAGTCAGGCGAGTTTGTAAGGGCGAAATAATTGGTATGAAAACCGGACTTAATATGTGAATGTATGTTAGATGTATATACATATATATTATATACTAGTACATTTCAGATTATTATATAAAAAGTTGTCTTTGCTTTGTCGTAAACTAATTAATTAATTATTGAAAAAATTTAATTTTTGCTCATTTATTTTATACATGTCTTTATTTTTTTTTTTTTTTTAATTTTAGTTCTTTATTATTCATTTGTAATAAATAAAATTTATTTTTTATTTTATTAGCTAAAAGCAAAAAAACAAAAATTATATTGTTAATTTAATTTTTAAATCACGAAATATATTTTAATTATTCATTATATTTATTTTTTTAAATAATATTTAAAAAAAAGAAGAAAAAAAAATGGTTGAATAAAAAAATGTCTACAAAGTAAACAATATTTAAATTTAAAATAAAAAAAAAATTACTAAGAAAAGTTCATTATTTTTGAATATAAATAAAATATATAAAATATATATTTAAAATAATTCCTGCAGTAAAACTTTTGTACTATGCCAATTTATCTTCTCTATAATTTATTTAATCAGGCGAACACTGGGCAGTCGTTCCAATAAGTTGAGTAAAAATTAAAATTCTATTGTTACATATTTTGTATGCACTGCCAGTCCGAGTGTGAAAATGTACTAATTTACCTCTCTATCCATCTCTCTTTCTCTCTCTCTCCCTCATTCATATATATATTTTGAATAAATTAAAAATTCTAAAGAGAAATACATTTTTATATTTATTTCGATATGCATTTCAAAATTGAGTTTAGTCAATATTATGACAATTGCAATGCTTATTTGGAGAGTACATAGAGACAAAGAGTGATAGAGAATGAGAGAGAGAGTAGTATAATTTTTGCTGTTATGCAAATTGGCAAACGCAAACGCATTTCAGTTTAACAATTTCCACTCGCTCGACAATATTTGAATTTTTCGATACGTTTTTGCTCTGGGCACAATTCATTATCATTTTGCCTGGATTCTGGATTCTGAATTCAGTTTGGCATTGAGCATTCGTGGAGTCGAGTCGAGTGGAGCCAAATGGCACTTGGCTAATTAAAGCCTTATGTATACGCAATGCGACACAGCGCAGCAGACAGCTCAAAAATGATGGTCAGCATTTGTCCATCTCGCATGGCAGGGAACTAAAAAATGGATCGCCATCAATCTCGCGCTGACATTAGCAGCGACAGCACCGAAGAGCGATGGCGACCATGGAGTGGTCATGGAGTGGCAGAGCAAGACGAAAACGAACGAAAAACCACTCACACAAAAAAAACAGGCAACTAATTACAAAGCTGTTGACAGTACCTCAGCGTCATGCGAAAAGGAGTTTACGGGCACAGCGGCTAGCGGACAATGGGCTACGGTTTCGCCTTGCTTGCCAGATTAGGGCTCTGATATCCTATACTCTGGCCATAAGCTAGCCAAAAATATATTTAACAAAAAAAAAAAAAGCAAGCACGCTTAAGCAGCGCCTGAATTATGTGTACTTGATAGGGCAATACCCTGTAAGCTCCGACAGTTGACATCCTATTATTATATATTGTTATTATGGCTTCAAAAGGTGTCTTAAGGGTGGAGTGTTCATGCTATGATTTAAGGTGGATATAGCTATAAATTATGAAAAGGTAGAAAGAGAGAGAGAGAGAGGTAAAGTGAATGTCCAAGGGTGTAAATTGAATGAAATGTAGCCATAAGTAGAGTGCAATAAAT